ATTAGGAAAAAGAGAAAAGAACCTTTATGTTCTAAAACGTTTATGGCAGCTCTCTTTGTGGTGGCAACGAACTGGAAATTGCAGGGATGCCCATCATTTGGGAAATGGCTGAACAAGTTGTATATGATTGTGATAGAATACTACTGTGCTGTAAGAAATGATGAGTTCAGTGATCTTCAAAAAACATGGAAAGACTTGCATGAAATTATGAAGAGCAAAATGAGCAGAACCAAGAGATATACAGTAACAGGAATATTGTTTTAAGAATGACTTTGAGTGAATAAGTCATTTTGACTATTATAAATATCCAAATTAGCTATAAAGGACATGTGAAGAAAGACGCTATCTGCATCCAGAGAAAGAACTGATAAATATAAGTATGCATAGAATAATTTTACATATATATACACATATATACATATATATCCCCCTATTTATGTCTAATGGTAGCCATCTCTAGGGTGGGTGGGAGGAGGGTAGGAAGAAAAAGAAATTTACATGATAATTTTGTTGTATATTTGAAAGGAATAGCAAATTGTGCATAATAGATTTGCGGTTGCATGTACAATCATCTTTTTTATCTTACTGTGTTATGGAAATTTTTATTTTATTCCATAAAAATATATTAATGCAATTTAAAAAAGAAAAAAGGGAAAAGAAATGCAAAATGTACAAAGTAAAGGGAAGGTAATTTCTATCAGGAGGGTGCACTAGCAGCTTCGGAGATGTGGAAAGGATATGTTGTTCAAACTAGACTCTTAGGAAGCCAGGGAGTCTGGGAGACATAGATGAGGGGAGAATGAATTTCTTGCATGGAAGATATCTTATACAAAGGCACAGAGATGGGAGAGGGAGTGTCATGTGGTAGGAAGAGCAAGAGAGCCAGTTTGGCTGGACGGTTGGAGCTTGATTGTGAAGGACTTTAAATGCCAAACAGAAGGGTTTTTATTTGATTCTAGAGATTAAATAGGAACAACTGCGGTTTATTGAGTAGGGGAATGACAAGGTCTGACTTATGCTTTAGGAATATCACTTTGACATCTGTCTGGGAGATGGATTAGGAAGGGAAGAGACCGGATAAGCCTCATGAATTGTCCAGGCAAGAGGTGATCAGGGCTTGTGCTAGAAGAGAGAGACGGGATGAGAAATATTGTGTAGTTAGAATCAGGAAGACTTGGAAGTTGATTAGACATGTGAGATGAGGGAGAATAAGGAGATGAGGATGATTCCAAAGTTACAACCCTAGGAAATTAGAAGGATAGTGATATCATGGAAAGAAGGAGAGAAGAGTTTGGGAGGAAAGACTGTGAGTTCTATTAAGGACATGTGTTTGTGATGCTTGTAAAACATCCAGTTTAAGAAGTCTTTACATATACACACATACATGTATATATATAGATATACACATATGTGTATATAAGTATATAGACATAGCAGTGGTATTTGTATAACAAAGATGTGGAAACAAAAGGGTGTCCATCAGTGAGGTAATGGATGAATATAAATACATATAATAGAATGTTTTTGTGCAGTAAGAAACAACAAAAAGGAAGAATTGAGGGAAACTGGAGAAGAGTTTTATGAACTAATATAGATCAAAAATAAACAGAACCAAAAGAATAATATTAACAATAAATAAAAGATTATAAATGAAAGGATCACTAGAAGAAAGAGCTCTGAGCCAACTGAAAAATCAGTAAAGGTACTGAAAAGCAGTTAACACATACTTTCTTCCTCGTGGAAGAAAGGTTAGGGATTATTAGGGCACAAATGGGTTCATTGTTTTGGGTATTTTTGTTTAAATTGTTTTTCTTTGTCACAAAGGAAGTCTCATTGAGGGAGGAGTTATTTTCACTAGAAACTTACTGTATTATAAAGGTATTTGCCGTCATGAGACCTTCTTTGGAGATGTCATAGATCCTTACATTGCTGAGAAGGGCTAAATCTATCAACGTTAGTCTTCGCACAATGTGGCTGTTACTGTGTATAACATTCTTCTGGTTCTGCTCATTTCACTCAGCATCAGTCTATACAAGTCTTTCCAGGTTTTTTTGCAGTCCACCTGCTCATCATTTCTTATAGTATTCCATTACATTCATATACCACAACTTGTTCAGCCATTCCCCAATTGATGGACATCCCCTCAATTTCCAATTCCTTGCCACCACACAAAGAGCTGCTATAAATATTTTTGTACATGTGGGTCCTTTTCCCATTTTATGATCTCTTTGGGATATAGCCCTAGAAGTGCTATTGCTGGGTCAAAGGATATGCACATTTTTATAGCTCTTTGGGCATAGTTCCAAATTGTTCTTCAAAATGATTGGATCATTTCACAACTCCACCAACAATGCATTAGTGTCCAATTTTCCCACATCGTCCCCAACATTTATCATTTTCCTGTTTTGTCATGTTGGCCAGTATGATAGTTATGATGTGGTACCTCAGAGTTGTTTTGATTTGCATTTCTCTAATCAATAGTGATTTGGAGCATTTTTTCATATGACTATAGATGGCTTTAATTTCTTTATCTGAGAATTGCCTGTCCATAAACTTTGACCATTTATCAATTGGGGAATGACTTGTATTCTTATAAATTTGACTTAATTCTCTATGTATTTTAGAAATATGGCCCTTATCAGAGACACTGCTTGTAAAAATTCTTTCCCAGTTTTCTACTTCCCTCCTAATCTTGGTTGCATTGGTTTTGTTTGTGCAAAACCTTTTCAATTTAATGTAATCAAAATTATCTATTTTGCATTTCATAATGTTCTCTATCTCCTGTTTGGTCATTAATTCTTCTGTTCTCCATATATCTGATAGGTAAACTGTTCCTTGCTCTCCCAGTTTGCTTATAGTATCAGCCTTTATATCTAGATCATGAACCCATTTTGACTTTATTTTGTTATATGGTCCCGTCTACCTTTTTAAAGCTTTGTATTATTTTTTTTTCAATGAACTTAAATCTATTCTGTCTCTCCTACCCCCTCATCATCTAAAATTGGGGGGGGGGGAAGAGGGGGCAGTGGTGGAATAAAATCCTTGTAACAAATATGTATAGTCTTAAATCACATTCTCACATAGGCCATGGCCAAAAAATGTCTCAATCTGCACCCTCAGTTCATCATCTTGTTATCAGGAGAAGATGGATAGAGTGCTTCATCATTTGTCCTCAGAAATCATAGTCAAGTTATTGCAATTGAACAGAATTTTTAAGTCTTTCAAAGTTGTTTGTTTCTGTCACTGTTCTCTTGCTTCTGCTTGCTGTATTCTTATCAGTTCATACAAATCTTCAAAACCCCATTTCTTTACCTCACTCACATTCCCACAACCAAAATGATTTTTCTTAGCTACATCATACTCTCCTTAAATCATCTAGTGACTTCACTCATGCAGCAATTCCTTAAAAATAATAGGTATGCAATTCATTGTTTGAGCCTCACACTAAACTTCAAGACCTTCATCCGTGAATACAAACTAGCCTATCTGTCCACTTATTAATCCTCTTCTGTCTATTTTCCCCCCAAAATAAAGCTTTTTTAAAATGCTTCTATGTCTAGATATCCTGCTCGCAACCTTTGATAATTTTTCCTATTGCTAGAATAGTGCACCTTCTTTAAAACATTACCATTTTTCTTGAAAGTAATTTTTCCATGTGAATTATTGCTGTCGATAAAAACTAATACATTTGAAATAAAGTTTTATTTCTTTGCTATAGCAGTCTGTTATTATTTTCATGGCAAACTGTTAAGTTCAGATTATTAGAGGAGTTAAAAATATATTCTGTTGAAAAATAAGGAGTGAAAATTTTTTAAATCTTGAGAAATAATAGAGAAAGGTTCATCACACATAAGTTGGCAACTTGGTAATGAGTTCTTTGGCCAAGACAACCCCTGAAGTAAAAAAAATTTGTGATGTGTTCCACAGTTTCTCTGTAACCTTCTTTCCATTTCAGCAGTGGTGGTAGCACATGTGAAAAAAGGGAGTGGGAGAAGCTAAGAATCAGTTTTTAGATCATTTAGAAATATTAACTTAATTAGTTTTTGGTACTCATTTTCCAATTACCATTGAGTTGACATACCACAAGAGGGGAACTGGATTATATTATTATTGACAAAAGATAAAAGGAAATTTCAATTAAATGTAAGTATGACTTGCATGTTCTTGGAGAGGCAAATAAAGTAATTAACAGACTTGGTTTTATTCTTCTAGAGGCAACAAGAAATATAATTTCATGGCACACCTGGTCATCTTGCACTGCATGGCATATGATCAGCATAAACAAACCATCACCATGACATTAATTACGAATTTGTGTAATGAGAATTCAGGGAAATTTTAAGACCCTTTATTTTAAATCAAAATAGACTTTAATACATGATGATTTGATTGCAGAGTAGGTATGGGGAGAACAGGAAAAACAATCTTGGAAAATATTGTTCATGATCAACAAATGAAAGAAACCAAAAGTTTGTAGATTATGTATTGGTGTGGTGACAGTGGAAAGTGTGCCAGATTTGAAATGAAAGGATTTGAGTTCAAATCTCAGCTCTGCCTCTTGTTATCTGTGTGACCTTGGGCAGAACACTTCATTACTTTTACCCTTAGTTTCCTCAGCTTCAAAATGAGGTTTTCCATCTCTGGATCTCTGATACTATGTGTATATACATAATCTCATAGATATATTGATATAATAATATCTGTATAAAGTGAGTGTGTGCTATATGTATTTCATTGCTGCTAGTCCAAATAATATCATCCATGATATCATATATAACTGTACTTTGGTTTTATGTGCTTTTTGAATGTAATTTTCTAGTCATCCATTTATTTCCAAAGTAGATCATCATTTAGTAACCACGTTTGTGTAAATTCAGTACTGTATTTGGGGAACAAAAAACTATAATTTCAGTATTCATTAGTACGTTGTAGTGGGTGTGGCTATCCTAGAAACAGCATCTACATAAAAGAAAATATTCTGACGCTTGTTAATATTTCAGATACAGGCCATATGTATACTTTTGGAGATGGTCGACATGGAAAATTAGGACTTGGACAGGAAAATTTTACTAATCAATTTGTACCCACGTTGTGCTCTAATTTTTTGAAATTTATAGTCCGTCTGGTAAGGATATAACATTTCCTTGTTTGGATGTTGATATTATATTTTGCCTGCTAGAAATTCATGGAAAATATTTCATTTTTAAGATGAAAAAATCTTGAATTTTTATGTTAATTACAGTTTCAGGTTTTCTAAAAAACATTTTTTTTCAGTCATCTCTGCCCTGAACAATTATCTCCTTCAATTTCCATCTCTAGCTTTTCTTCTGCCTCTTTCTTTATTTGTCTTTATGCCAATCTTTTATTTCAAGTCTGATATTAATTAGACTCTTAAATGCTATAAAGTAGTAATTCCTGAAAATAAATTCTCATCATATTCATTCAACTAGTATTTATTAAGTACTTATTCTATATAAGGCACTGTTTGTGGTGCTGGGAAAATTTGTTGTTTTAGAGGTATCTTACTGGAAAAATATAGCTGGTGTTTTTCACTCTTCCAACATCTGTTTACCCAATGATGTTCATAACAATGATCTGATGATATAATAAGAGTTCATTTATACTTTAAGGTTTACAAATTACTTCCCTCATAATATCCTATGAGATAGTTTAAGTATTATTATCTCTATTTTATAGATGAGGAAACTGAGGATTATAGGTATTAAGTGGATTGCCCAAGGCTACACAGCTATTAAAGCTAGGACTCAAGCCCAGGTCTTTAGAGACTTTTTCCCACTACACTATGAGGCCTCACCACTGTCTTATGTAGTCTTACTTTTTTAATAGACTCAGTGGCACTCCAAAACACTGTGTTCACCTATTTAGATAAATAATGCAGTATACAACAGTGTAGTGATGTTTCAAATAGAAACAGGGCCAGTAATCCATACATAAGGTTACCTGTGGAGCACACATTGATTTAACTTTGAGTTAGGGGTGGGTGGGAGGGAAGTTGTTTGACATCAAGAGCACTTAAAAGTGCTAAAAAGTTGCTGGGTACATTCACACACAGGGAAAGACAGACAGACAGACAAACAGACAGACACACACACACCCCAGTAGTAATTGGTCCAAAGAATATGGTCTTAATATAAAGCATTTGCTAAGGACTGGACACCTAATTGCCAAAAGAGATGGTTATTTCTTCCTGTTTTTTTTCCCCTTGATTCTTCTTCTGCCAATATTTAAGAAATTAGTTTTCTGCATTTTATTAGTTGAAATTACTATTTTAAAATTACTTTTTTATTTCCTTCTTAAGAGAAATAGTATTTGCCAGATAGTTTGCCAGTTTTGTTTGCCATGATATATTTATACTAGTCAAAATAAAATAATGGGGTTAGTGCTGTCCTCTGCTTTAAATTACAATGATTAAAGTATTTTTTGACAAGAGAGGCTCTCATTAAGTAACACTTTAACTAAAAGCTACTTCTGAATTCATTTCCATTTGAAGATGGCATAAGTTAATTTAGTCTGTATTTTTGCTCCAGGTTGCTTGTGGTGGATGCCACATGCTAGTTTTTGCTACTCCAAGGCTCAACAAATCCGAAGAAATTACGGAAGAAAAAGTAAACAATAGTGGCTTGACTGTAGTTTCTTCTCTTGGTGATGATCAGCCTTCAGGAAACTCCTTGCAGAAAGCAGTATCTGCAAGGTCACGGAGAAGAGAAAGGGTAATTATTGCACTTTCTGTTTCTAATGACTACTTCAGTAATGTAAAGAAAACTTATGAAAAATACTTTTAAAAGATCTTAAAAATACTACCATAACTCTCACTTTAAAAACTTGTTAGCTTAGAATATTTGTGATTTATATTGTCAAAAATTAGTTTTTAAAATTTTAAATATTTAGTTTGCTTGTGAGATAGAAAAAGCAGCATATTCAAAATGATCATTGAGAAAACTTTTATTAATGATATAATTATGATGTAAAAAGCATATTTATGAAAGCCAGCCCTGTTACCCTAAGAGCAAAACATTTACATTCAGGAATATTATTCAGTGTATGACTATAAACTTTGTGGTTCTCTTACTTTTAATCATGCTTTTCATATGATTTTTTTTTTGGCTATGTTTCATAAGCAGCATAATATTTTTATGTGAGGTATATTTTGGTAGAAGAAAACTTACTTTGCCATTTTAGGCACCTTTCCCTTTCCAGAATAAGTTAGCCCTGAGTCTGCAACTTGTAGATTTCCAAAGTTGTTTGTCCCTGAAAGGTTCAGTGATTTGCCCAATGTTACAAAGCCAGGATGTGTCACTCAGAACTGGAACATGAGTGTTCCTGATTTTGAGGCCAGTTCTCTATCTACTATACCACATTGCCTCTTATGCTATTAACTAAAATCATAAATAACAAAAGAACTATGGAATTTTTTGTGAGTTAGGGTCTCTCTTAAATTGCTCACCCAAGTCACAACACTGATGATACCCTAGTCATGTCAGGAAGCATTTTTTAAATGCCTGCTATGTGCCAGGATCTCTGCTAAGTGCTTGAGATTCAAAGAATGGTAAAAACAGGCCCAACTCTCAAGGAGCTCACATTCTTATGGGGGAGACAGCATGCATGTGTATAGAAGATATATAAATATACAGGGCAAATTGGAGGTCATCTCAGAGGGAACAGTAAGAACTGCAGAAGATTCTTTTGGCCCAATGTTAGTCCTCTGGTTTGAAATTCTTAAATCAGTAAACTACTTTTTATGTGCTAGACACGGTGCTAAGCCCTGAGAATACAAATGCAGTCAGAAAGAAAGACAGTCCCAGCTCTAAAAGAGCTTATATTTTAATGGGGGAAGATAGCACATAAAAGGAAGCTGAAAAATGTTTGTGTTGGAGTAGAATAATTAAGGGATGTGGTAGAGAACGTATGGAGTGCAACTTGGAGAGGAGTGATGTTCTAAATGCTCTTTGGTAAAGGTTTTATATTTAATTTTTCCCTGAGGAAAAAAAAACGTAGTGTGGAAAGTTGGAAATAACTTTTTTGTAGAAGCAAAAACCTACATTTTGCCATTTATCAAAGTCTCCCATTTTGAAATTGTAGATGTGTTAAGATTGAAAAGAACAGCTCAAGAAATTTTTTTTTACAATCTCAAGGACCATTGAAATGTGAACATTATGGAATAGTGGCAGCTTTTTTATTTCATATTTTTTAGCAGATGCAATAAATTAACATTAAATATGGAACTCAATGCTTAATCAGTCTCATAACAGTCTTGTTTTCATTCTTATTTCAAAGGAAAATTCACCGGAACAGCTTGGTCGAATGATAAGAACTCTACCCCCATTGGAAGTTCCTTTCAAACCACCAGTACATGCCTCCAACAGTACAGTCCCTCTCAGGTTCCCTGTAAACAATTATCCTCGTGCAAATACAAGTAATGAAAACGACAACCTACAATTAGTTGATGCAGGTGATACTTAGTGTTATGTGTTCTCGTGAAAAAATTGTTGTGTTGTTGTTGTTGTTTTCCCTTAAAACTCTTCATATCATGTTTTAATTTACTGAATGATTGAGTTGTTCATTTCCCAATCCATCATAGACTCAACAACTAGAAAGAACCACCAGGAACGATAATAGCACTAGTTACCTTGGATGTATGTTCTTAAGATGTTATCCTCCATCCTTAACTTCCATAGACCTACTGTAAATAATTTAATTTACAGGCTTGTGAAAGTGTATTCATGTATATCTGACACTGGGGCCTAGATACTAGGCAAGGAACCAGGAATAGGAAAGTTGAGAAGACACGTGATAGACCAGACAGCTATTGATGGTTAGGGCAGGCAACAAATCTGTAATCCAGAGAGACAATCTGGAATAAACATCAGGAACCCAGCAAGGAAATGGTGCAGCAGATGTAGGGCATCAGTTCTAAGATCTTGTTATTGAGCCAGCTTGCCATCTGAAGGCTAGAGCTTTTAATATAGTCTCATTAAAGTATGAATCAGATCCAAAGTAGTTTGTCCTTCAGTTGGAGATAATAATAATGATGATGATAATGATAATAATATTTAGCATTTATGTCGTACCTATATGTACCTCCTAGCTACCTAATAGCATATAATTGGTAACATCTGGCTGAAGTAAAAAGTGAGAAACAGCAGATTCTGGTAGGCAAATCCTGTAACTTTATGGTAGGGAATTCCTAGTATGGAAACTCCTTCCATTGATGCACATTGACAACTAATCTAACTTTTCATCTTAAGGATTTGCCTGCAGACCTAGAAATTTACCCATGATCACAGGGCTATTAAATGTTAAAGACTGGACTTAAACCTTGGTCTTCCTGAATTCATTCTAAGACCAACCTTTAGTATACCTCTCAGTCTTTATTTATAATATAAATAAAACATGAAAGGAGAAGTTTATGGCTTTCAGGGAAGTTGTTCTACCTGTCTCTTCTCTTCCATTCAGTATAAATATTGGAACATATGAGGTTCTATATAGTTTTGTTGCTGCTTTGTTAATTCTAAAGCACAAGTCTGACCATATTACTCCCATGTTCAAGAAGCTCCAGTGGTTCCCAGTTGTTTCTATGATAAAACACAAATTCTTCTACAAACAATTATTGCCTTATGTAAGTGGACCATTCCTTAGACCTCTATATACATAAAGCGATTTTTACATAATATGAATTTGCCCCACCCACTTACTTCACTTAGTCTGTATAACAAAGGCATACACAAAACAATACCCTTTATAGGTCATAAAATGTACTGAAATGCAGACATTTTACTGTGCCGTGATAATAAACAGAATTGTGAAATGAAAGTTAAAGTTAGAGATAAAGTATGCTTAGTACTATACAGTAAAATTAACATAGGTGTGCAGTATGTTGCCCCTTCCCCACCCACTGCATCTAGCCCTTATCACTAGCTGTTGGCTGTGCAACTTTTTTATACAGCTATCAAGAATTGTTTCTTCCTTGTATATCTGATGAGATAATAAGCAATATTATCCCCACCTAATCTTTAAACATCTTGGAGTATTTGGATCCATCTTTTCAACATGAGAAAAAATGTAGTCAAATGATGAAATGCTTCAGCTCATTGTTTTGTTGTGAACCTTTTGGTTCAGCCTTGGGTTCTAAAGCTTCCCTTTCTTCTTCTGCAGTTTTTGCAGCTAGTAGCTCAATCAGATCCTCCTTCAAGTTATTCTTCATGAGAATCAATCAACTTCTCCACGTCATTCTCATCTACTTCTAGCTCCAATTCTTGTGCTGATTTTACAATCTTGTTACTCACTTCTTCAAACTTTGTCTTTGCCAATTCCATGAAAATTGGGAACGAACCATGGGCACACTTTTTTCTAAACTCTCTTCATATATGTTTCTGTTACATTTTCCCATGCTTTAGCAGTATTTGAGATTGCATGGTAAATATTATAGGTCTTCCAGAAATCTCTCAAATTCAAGCCCTTATCTGCATCCAAAGCTGCAATTACCTGGGCAAATGTAGTGTGTAAATACCACACCTTAAAATTCACAATCACTTTCTGATCATAGGTCATAATAATGTGGTAGTGTTAGGAGGAAGGTAGACTACCTTTACATTTTCATTAAAATCATCCAGATGGGAAAGGTGACCTAAGGCATTATCCAAACTAAGTAGAATCTTGAAAGGAATGCCTATCATTACAAAATTGCTCAACTTTAGCAATGAAGCACTACATAAACCATTGTCTAAGAGGGTTATCCATGCCTTAGGGTAAGCAAAATAATGCACAAGTAGCTAGCCTTGTGCATTCCTTTCAATGTTCTGGGATTCTCTCAGTTGTGCCTAAGAATAGATTTTAATTTGCAAGTCCTGGATGCAAAAGAGCGCTGTTTTTCAAAGCTTTATGTTCTGTCGTAGTTTTTTCCTCCACCAAGATATAGATTCAAAATGGCATTATTTGATAAAGTAGGCTGGTTTCATCTACATTAAAGATTTGCTCTGGCAAGTAGAGACTTTTGTCTATTATTTTTTACAGGAACTCTGGCAACTTCTTTGCTGTTTTAATATCTGCCCTAGCAGCCTCTCCTGATGGTTACACATTATGAAATCCTGCATGATTTTTAAATCATGCAAACCAGCCGCTGCTTCCTGTAAATACCTGTGTTCCTTCAGGATACTTTACCTTTAAATCTTCAAAGATGCTTCAAGCCTTGGCTTCAGTAATCTTCAAGCTTAAAGGAATGTTCTTCTGAGCTTGGTTTTCTATCCACATAGTTAATAGTTTCTCCATCTCTAGACTAGTACCTTCTCTTTGTTTTGACAGATAAGTCAGCTTCATGCAAACATTGCCTTTTGTGTGCTCCTTTATTCAGACACCATCTTTCAGTACAGTGTTTATATTTGACATGGCAAAACTAAGTTCACCTACTATCAATGACAATTTTTGTCCTTCATATTTTCTAATTATTTTCATTTTCATTTCCAAATCTATTGGCTTAGGCTTACAAGATGATTCACTCTTCTTCTCAAGCACACATTTGCTGCCAACCATAGTGAAAATACAAGGATCACTGTCAAACATAGGGAGTTGCACAGTATCACTCACTGTCTGCAGACATGTGGGAAATGCCTTAGAGATGCTTTTCTTCTTCCCACCAGCATTTATGCTTCCTGCATCATGCAGTGTCTTATTGTATAACATTTGCTTTACGTAAGGAATGTTCATTATTTTTTGGAATGTGATTTTCTTTCAGAATTCTTTATGTAAAATCAAATTTGCCTAATGTAAATTTCTGTAAAGTTAGAACTATCTGTATTTGTAATAAAGTCTTTCCTGATCTGGCTCCAGCTTCTCTTTCTAGGATTATTATTTATCATACATTATTTTCCTTCATGTACTCATGTTCCCACCAAATTGAGCTACTTGTACCCTGGGACTGCTGTTTTATCTCCCATCAATCCCTATGTCCCCTTTTCATCATCTAAAGACCTTGCCTTTTAATTGACTGAAAAAATTGAACTGCTTCTTCTCCCATTCTGTTCGTCTCAAAATTCTTTGACATAATTTCCTACTCTTTTCTCCCTGTTTTTCACAGAGATATCCCTTTTGGCCAAGGCCCTCTACAAGTACACTTGATATCCTGCCCCCTTCTGTCTTCTCCAACATATCGCATCCTCAGTCATCCCCCAAGCCCCATCTTCAACTTTTCTCTAACAGCTTGTTCCTTCCCCATTGCCTTCAAACAAGACCAAGTCTCCCCCGTCCTTAAAAAATCCTTCTCTAGACTACTATCTTCTCATACTGTCAACCTATATTGCTCTTCCCATCCTTAGCAAAACTCTTTGAAAAGCTTTCAAACCTTGCTGCTTCCACTTCTTTTCTCACATTCCTTAGCTCTTTGAAATCTGATTTTCAACCTCATCAGTCTCTAAAGTTATTAGTATTCTCTTAATTACCTCATAAAATGGTTTTCCCAGTCCTCATTCCTTTTAACCTATATACAGCAATTGATGTTGTTACCCACCCTCTCTTCCTGGATATTCTTTCTTTTTAGACTTTTTATATTTTTCCTTGTCCTTCTCCTGTTGAACCATTCCTGCTTGATCTCCTTTGCCAACTCATCATTCATATTACATTCCCCCCCCCCCCCCCGCCCCTGGTGGTGTTCCTAAGGCTTTGTCCTTGATTCTCTTCTCTTCCCTTTATGTGTTCTTGGTGACCTCATCAATTCTCATGAATAAATATCATCTCTATGCAGATGATATCTCGATCTCTATGTATCCAGCTTCAGTCTCTCCCCTGAATGTCCAATCTGGCATTACCATTTGCTTAAAGGACATTGCAAAACATATGTCCTGAAGACATCTTAAACTCAACATGTCCAAACTGAATTTACTCGTCTTTTTCTGAACCTTCTCCTTTTTTAAACTCTGTGATCCAGTCACATGGGTGTTCTTTCTGTTCCTCCCACACAACAATTCCTTCTCTTTCTCCATGTCTTTGTACTGGCCATCCCTCTTGATTGGATGCGCTCTCTCCTTACTTTCACCTTGTGGAGTTCATCTTTTCCTTTAAAATACAGCTCAAGCACCTGTTTCTGCATGAAGCTTTATTGATTGATTAATTGATTGATCTTCCTGCCTTTATACAAAGTCTATCACCAGAGATTGGAATGTACTCCTTCCTCAGCTTTGCCTCTCAGAGGCACTCAGTGGAGTGAAAGAGTTGAATATAAAAGATGCTGTGAAGATAAAAATCACAGAATTTGGCAACTGATTAAATCTGTGGGGTGAAACTGCTTTCAGAGGTCACCCTGATGTCCTGATAGTCTTTTTTTAATCCTCATCCTCTACTTCTGTAGTATTTGATACTATTGTTTACATGTTTCTTGCTACTTTCCTTGACAAACCCTCTTACCTCGTAACAAAGTTTTTTTTTTTAAAAGGTCATAAAAAATCAAACAATTCCACATCT